TTAAAATACTCAATGAAAATGTTCAATGGCTTTACTAGTTTAAAATACAATCATTCTAAATGTGAAAATATGAAATCTGCTATTGAAATGATGCACTCAGTCTCTCTGTGTCACAACTCTGCAGACTAGTGGTCATATTTTCAAAGCTGCGACAAAAATAGCTAAACATAGGCCAACAATGAATGAACAATATGAACTGTATTTTTATTAACTTACTAAATCAACATGTCCATAACTCATTAATTATAAATAGGCTAAAACAAATGCTTTGATACGATTCGCTTGAAAAGACTTTTGCAAAGGATTTTCCATGAACATCATGAACGTCAGTGGACCAGAAGTAGTAGGCCTTGTGTGCAGTACTTCCTTTATAAATGTTTTCTTGTCAGAAGTACACTACTGAGTAGATTTGTCTTTCAAACTGCTACAGTAAAACTATGAACAGAAAAAGCTCACTCCTAATGAGCTCCACAGAGCACCTGTTCTTGCTGAGAAATTGCTAATGAACAAGAGAAATTGTAAAGGGCGGTGTGAACACAGATTATGGCTGAAATATTTGTCATTGTTTGCAGTTATACCATCCAAACAATGAAAGCACACATACATAATCCATCTACAAACATTTCTAAATTTAATTCAACACAATTTTAATGATTGGTCAGTAAATATATTTATGTATTTATTTATTCAGTTTTTATTCAGCCTATTGTTAATTCTATAGTATTGAAGGCTGCAAATCTATAGATTGGTTATGCATAACACATAGTTGTTTAAATTCTTCACATAGGCACTATATTTGGATACTTAGATGTTTATTAAATAGCCTATATCTCTCTCTTTAATTAATGCTGATCTGTCTGTGCTTCATTTACATTGTAACAATATTTCTTAACAAATAGGCAGCATATGAAATCCAGAGTTAATCAATCAGAAAATTAGTACGTTTTATTAAATCATTACACTGCCTCTTCATGCTGTCACACGTCTGACAGGCCACAGTGCACCACACAGAACACTGGCCGACAAATTGTGCAGTTTGGCTCATCAGGTAGGTTATTTGATTTCTCCCAGTCTCGTCGTCGTCGGTACTTTTGCATCCGCTTTCGTTTCAGGACCAATCAATGTCAGACACGGGGGGTTTCTTGAGCTGCAGCTGCCGTTGTTTCAACATGACTCCCTGCCAAGAGACCCGCCTTTATCTGACTCCGATTGGTCCTGAACCAACAATGGCAGCGAGTATTAGCCAAGTATTCACAGAATGCGGGTGGGAGGAGAGTAGGGTCGGGCATTGTGTGGTACAGGCAGCCGGTGGTGATCGTGGAAGAGGGCTGAGTTGATTTGTTTGGTGCTGAGTTTGAAATTGAGTATACGAGTTGAAGTAGCGAATATTTCGATTTTCTGACCGTAGAATTGGGTTTTGCAGGACTATAGACCGACCGCCTGTATAGGTCCGGAACAGAAGTCCTGAAGGGTTCCTTAAAAACTCGGACAGAATGGCAGTAAGGGAGACAGATCATAGTAACAGCATGCAGTTTAGTGAGGAAGAGGGAAATTACATAGATGAGGGGGGAGGGAAAGGGTGGAAAGACGGAGAGAGAAGAGGAACGGAGTTAGGTTTAAGAGAAAGAAAAATACAACTAGTCTAAGCGAAGCAGAAAGTGAGAGGAAGAACTCAAAGGCAGGAGTGCTTAATGTAGTGATAAGATTTGAGGGGGGGGGGGGGGAGTAAAGAAAATTGATCCATTGAAGTTAACAAAAATCATTCGAGGGCAAGTGGGGGAAGTAAATCATGCAAAAGTATTAGGAGATGGAAACTTGCTAATAGGGTGTAGTAGTGAAGAACAGGTGGTGAAAGCAAAGAGGATGACTATCATTGGAAAAATCAAAGTGTCTAAAGTTGTATGAGTTGGAGAAAAAATAATCAATGGTAGCAAAAAGGGGTGAGACAGTTAAGATGGCAGGAGAGAATAAGAAGCATAAGGAGGGAGGATGTAGCAAAGAGCAAGTGGTGGGGAGGAAACAGCACGATGAGAAGAAGGCACGGGTAGAGAAGAAGAAGTTGGTGACATTCATTGCAGGAGTGATAAATGCAACATATGAGATCAAATCTAAAACTGAACGGATCCAGGTCATAGTAAAAGATGCTGTGCACCATTTGGATATGATAGGATTAAGGTGGGAAGAAGTAAGAGATGAACTTAGTATACAGTCAAGTCAAGAGACAGCATGTGTGGGTTGATAATCCTAATACTAATAATTTTAATTCTTCAGTGGGACGTGAGAAGCTTGATAGCTAATGGGCAAGACTTCAAACAGTTTATAGGTAGTAGGGGGGAAAAACAGACATTGTATCCAAGAATCCTGGTTAAAACCAAACTTGGATTTTGTTCTACATGGGTAAGTAACTGTGAGGCGAGATAGGACAGAGGGGGCAGGCGGGGGTTGTGTCACTTTTATAAAGCAGGGCATTCCTTACAGGATTTTAGGGATAGGAAGAGAACAAGAGTACGTGGTAGTGAAAATGTGAAAGTGTGGGCAACAAAAGAAGTAATGATTGTGAATTATTATAACCCGTGCAAAAAAATAGAATTAATGAAGCTGTAAGAGATAGAAGGGCAGAATAGTAGTAATATTGTTTGGTGTGGAGATTTTAATGGACATAACACATTATGAGGTAGTGATAGAACAGACACAAATGGTCAGGTGATAGAAGAGTTACTTGATGAAAAGAATTTAGTATGCTGAAATAATGGCAGTAACACTAGGATAGATATACATACAGGAAAAGAATCTGTGCTAGATCTCACTTTGGTATCAAATTCAAAAACCTTTGTTACGGTACATAGCTCAAATAATATGCAGGAAGAAGGTAGAAGAGGTAGAGAGAAAACAAAATCTGAAAATATGGAGGCTTTAGGTAGGAAAAGTAGTGTGGAGGATGGACAGAATGGCCCCTTTACAATAGGAGCGTTAAAAAGGGCACTAGACAAAGCGGGTGTAAGTTAATGGAACGAATGGTGAATGAGAGGTTAACATACTTCTTGGAGGAAAGAGAAATCATACCAAAGCGGTCTCAGGAAGGGAAGGAGTACCATAGATCCAGTGCTGGGACTAGAAGATGAAATAAGGAAAGCCCAAGTAAATAAAGAGACAATGGTTGCAGTATTTTTCGACTTGGAAAAGGCATATGATATGTTACGGAAGGAAGGATTGCTAATTAAACTAAACCTAATGGGTGTTGGAGGGAGAATGTTCAATTGGATTATGGACTTTTTAAATGAAAGAACTATTCAGGTGAAGATAGGAGCAAGAACTATCTAGCCAATATATAGTAGAAAATGGGACACCTCAGGGGAGTGTAATAAGTCCCACTTTATTTTCCATTATGATAAATGATGTATTTGTAAACATTCCAACTGATATGGGGAGATCATTGTTTGCAGTTGATGGAGCATTGTGGAAAAGAGGGAGAAATGTGGAATATGTAGCTAAGAAAATGCAAGATGGAATTAATCATTAATCTTGGTTGAAGAATCTTTAACCAAGTCCAGTTACCATTGATTTTAACCTTCGTTGGATAACTATGACCTGGATGACTGAGAATCTTCATAGACAATTAATCAAGTCGAAAAGTCGGGAACAAAATGGGGATTTAAGTTTTCAGTGGAAAAAAGCTAAGTCGAAGGTTTTCGTTTTTTGGGAGTATATTTTGATGTGAGATTAACATGGAGGGAGCGTATTAGATATGTACTTGATAAGTGTAAAAAAGTTATAAATGTCATGCAGGATTGGGTTGGGGAGCGGATGTAGCATCGCTGAAATACATATATATATATATATATATAGCCTTAATAAGATCAACGTTAGACTATGAAGTATTGGATATGGTTCGGCAGCCAAATCTGTGTTGTGTTATACAAGCTCAGGCTTTAAGAGTGTGCGTAGGAGCGGTTAGAACCTCCCCAATATTTGCTCTCCAAGTAGAAGCAGGTGAAATGCCAGTGTGGTTGAGGAGGAAGCAGCTGGGCGTCAATTTAAGAGGGCATGGAGATCCAGCAAAAGGGTGCTGCAGACGTGCTGGGAGAAGCAGACGACACAAAAAAACAAGTTTTGGGTGGACAGGGGAGCAAATTGGAAGGGTTACAGGGGTATATGATAAAGAGTTTGGCGCGAATGAGGTGTGGCCTATCAGACCTGTCTGGGAATTAGAAGTGTAGATTTGGAACTACTTGAGATTAAACGCAATAATAAAAAATGCTGATTTAACTATATTATATATACTGTATATTATAGCTATAGGGAATGTACAGATGGGTCAAAGGACATGCAAACAGATGCAACAGGGTCTGCAGTTGTTGTTCCTAAGTAGCTAAAGAATAGCTAGGCAGGGGGGAAATGTCATGTTTCTGTGGGTCCCTGCAAACTCGGGAATTCAGGGAAATGAGAAAGCAGATAAGGTGGCAAAAGAAGCAGTTAAAAAGGAGATGCTGAAGTCAACATTAAATTATCAAAATCAGAGGGGAAGGCATAGTGTGGAGAAGTGTAAATCAACAATGGCAACAGAGCTGGGATAACGCAATAAAAGGGAGACATTTACACAGAATCCAAAGCAAAGTAGGTATATCAAGAAGTAGGGGAGCAAAGAGGAAAGAGCAGGCTGAGAATTGGGCATAGCAATCTTAACAGCACACTTTTAATTACAGGAAAACATCCTACAGGAATGTGTGAACAATGTCAGGAGGCTGAAACAGTAGAACATATTCTTATTACATGCAGGAAATTTACTGAGGAAAGACAAGAAATAATAACACAGTTTAAAAAAACAGGACGGGTATATAATACAGTAAAACGTTTATTGGAGTATGTGGAGGGCAGGAAATGGATATTTGGTTTTCTGATGGCGACTGGATTAGATAGGCGGATTTAGTATGAAGCCTGAAGGAGGCAGTAATGCAACTCAATGGATGCCAGCTGCCGTAAAGACCCAAAGAAGAAGAAGAAGAATGCGGGTGGGATGATTTGCATGGGATTCTGGATAAAAAGACAACTCGGAAACGGGACGCGCTATTTACTCCTCAAATAAGGGACGGGAGGCAACGCTAGGCTTAGAGCGCTTCTAAGATCGCGTGAGACTGAATTCGTGTGCGCTCCTGAATCTGAAGAGCTCCGACAGACACAGCGGAGACCTGCTGGATCTCAGAGACCAGGACCAAGAGCGGGATGGAGGAGGACAACCAGGACCCGGAGTCCCGGAGCAACAACGTCCCCGGAGGACAAACAGCAGGCTCGAGCTCTGATAGCACCGATGTTCAGGTCAGTGTTCATGAACACAGCTAGCAGCTAACAAGAAGCTAACGTGGCGTTAGCTCGGCCTGGTTCCGACACGTAGCTTCATATTGACTGTAAACAAGATGTAATGTAGCAGGATTCAACAGTGGAGCCATCAGAACCCCGTATCTCTACAGAACCCACACTTAATGTGACGGTCGGACCCGGAGAGGAGGAGGAGGAGGAGGAGGAGGTCTCTTGTAGCATGTAGCCTGCTGCCTGGGTGTTAGCATGCTAGCTAGCTAGCTAAGACTGGACAAGGCTGAAGTTTACTTCCGGTTCGTGAAGGGAAACGTTACGTTGCTGAGCGACCGATCCTCCGTGTTTTGCTCCTCTTACTGTTGTGAAAACATTTTAGATAAACACAGTTTCAGATTTGTGAGACCTTTTATTCTGTTTGGACCTGGACCAGCTGGAAAACTGAAACAACAGATCATCTTGGTTCAGCTAGTTATTTTTAAATGAAAATGTGTAATGTTTTAATATCAGCTCTCCATTATCAGGTGCTCTGCCACTTACTCAGTTCACTCGGCTTCAAAAACAGAAACAGCCTGCAGGCTTTTGTCAAAGTTTCAACGTTTCAAGGAACAATCTTGAAAAAATTTCCTCTTCTGAAACGAGCCACCCCGATCCAACGAGTCCGTGCTGCTTCCGTCAGGCTGCAGATACAACTTGCCATGCAGGACGAGTAGACTCTCCTGTTGTAGTTGTCTACTATGACAATGTAGTCTTGTGTGTTCCATGTGAACGGGTCTGTACCCTCTCCTTGGGGTTTACGCTGCGTCTCGCTTTTTTTCTCCACTGCAGCCTCAATCTGTTTTGCCAGGCCAGCCCAGAACAGACAATTGAGTGCTCGGTGCTTGATTTTTCTCCGCACCTATCTGTCGGCATACATGTGCTGCAACATGTTATCTCTGAGCCTCTGAGGATTTGATGGTGATTTATACTAGGGTTGTGCGATGTGGCCAAAAATTTTATTGCGCTAAACATTTCATAACATCTGATATCGGTAATTATCATGATGAATTTCAAATCATTATTTCAGTCAAGTTTAAAGGCTGAGTTTTGCCCCAGATTGAAAAATGAAGGGCCAGATGGTTAATTGTGGTGTTAAACTATTTTTAAATGTCAGAACGTGACAAACGCTTGATGCCAAACAGTAGATCATTTAACATTGAAAGAGGTGGTATTATGCTTTTTGGCTTTTTGGCTTGGAGTTGTACACCTTTTTTGCATTTAACAGGTTTGCAAAGTGAAAAAGCTCAAAGTCCAGCCCAAAGAGAGTTCCCATCTCCCACAGAAAACTCTGCTCTGAAGTGCTTGAAAACAACTCGTTTGTAGTTCTGCCGTTTCCCTTTCATCCTTGTGACACCACAGGGATGAAAGCCAAATGCAGCTCATATAACGCTCGCCAAGCGGCTAGTCCGACACACCTTCAAAAGCACCGATGGAAAAACAGTGAGCTGAAGCACACAGCTCTCCTCCCTCTTCCAAACACTAGCTACCCTCCAGGCAGTCAGTGGACATAAAGTTGTTCCTGTGATGTAGAGACAGAGCTCAGTTAAAACTTTATGGATGAACAATACTTTTGTTACAGATTAATAACTCACCACTCTGAAACTCTCGCTCCAGTCCATGTTGCCAAGCTGGTCGGCAACATGTAGCCTACAGCTGAATCAAAGCTGTTTAACGGCTTCTCGCTGACACGCCTTTCTCTGCTTCTGATTGGCTAGTAGTCTTTAACCCTCTTAAGTCTAAGGGCATTTTTTCACCTTTTCTTCGATTTTACATATGTTCCATCCTTTTAGAGACAATTGCATAACATGATACCGTGTGTCAAAAACAGAAAAAACTCAGCTCTCTTGATCTGTTGAGCCCTCCACTTGTTATAGAGTATTGTGTAAAGAGAGAGAGATTTTGAAATTCTTCAAATGTCTTGTGGAAACCTACCATTACTCATGTGGAAGAATTCTTTGGGTGCTTGAAATGAGTTTACCAAAGGCTTGGGGTCACAAAAGCAGGGACATACATGAATAAAATTGTAGCTAATGCATAATAACTGTCTAAAGTAACATTTTGAACAATCGTTGTTTGAGTACACGTGTTGTCTGACTCTACTTTCACCTCATGTTAGAGGGACTGAGATAAAACAGGACTGTATAATCACTCCCTACTACACATCCAGCTTTATGGGGATGTGTGCAAATAAAAAATAAGCATTACAACAGGTCTTTCTTTCAAGCAAAATGTTGACTATGTGTATAAAAGCCACACAGAAATAAAACGCACTGACAATATTTATATAATGTACAAATTGTCATGTTTTAACTTTTAAACAATATTTATATATAAAGACTAAGTATGTATTAAAAACACAGAAAAGCCCCACTATTTACAATATTTACATAATGTGCATTTTATGAGCTGCAGCCCTGTGTCTGAGCTGGTTGAAACCTGGAGATGGAGAGCGATGGCTGGGTCTGTGTCCATCTTCAGCTCCAAGACAGTAGAGCTGGCTGCTGAGTAGATGGGGGTGCAGGTTGCTGTTGGGGTGCTGGTGGTGACCTGGTGGCAGGCACAGGTGATGGTGCTTGTGTTTGACTGGGCCCTGGCAGCTGGGAATCCAAAGCAAAGCAAATAACACCTGAATGACATGTGGGAAAACTGTCTCTTCTATTTACACTCATTCAGTCTAAATATACTGAACATAAACACATTTACTCATCACTAAAAGAGATAATATTGTTCAAATTGTGAGTGGAGGTGAAGATATATCATATTAGTTATCAAAAGGAGATCACCTAGAACAGCCTACATGCCTACAACGTTACGATTTGTAAGTGTGTCCCAGTTTTACACAAGAAAATAACTTTTACACAAAGTAAACTAAAGGGGCAGTCAATTTGTCAAAGTTCATGACAACTTACTGAAACACAAAGCAGCACAGACGCAGCTTATTTTAGCCAACATGGTCCCAGTTAGCCAAGCACTAAGTGCACCATTGCAAACAAGATTTTTTTAATAAATACTCTTACCCGTCGTCAAATGGCTCTCTATTGTGTAGGTAATATTAATGCTTCTTATCGTAAGAATAAAAACATTCAGGCTCAGAAACTCGTCTCTCATCTTCGTTGCTGCTCTCCAAAACGGCAGCAAGAACGTCTTTCAGTGTAGGCGTCTTCACCATTTTCTCTCCTCATCTTCTTCTTATTTTTCCTCCTTCTAAATACATGTTTTCCATGTTTTTCTCGCAGACTTTCCCCCCTTCTCTCTCTATGTCAGCTCGGGATTTTCCCCACTGTGAGGTGATAGGTGGGTCTGTAGGGATTTTGAGATCGTCTATTTGTTAGCTTCATACAAAATGCCGACAGACAAGCTAACCCACCAATTACGCACAGTGAACGCCAATCTTGACTTCCCCCTAGCCCGCTGTGAGTCACCTACGATTTCGAGAGAATAAGGACTTTTAATCTCTCGATTAAGGCAATCGGAACCTTTTCTGTGTGCTGCATGATCGCAGAGATATTAATAGAAACATTTAGTAAACACTGAGTTGACGCGGTTCCTTGTCATCCGACCTCAGGGGGTTAACTAGGAACTATGCATGTGTAACTCCCAAAAAAAGATAATTTAGAGACAAGATCTATCACTCCATAGCTAAAACGAAGCCTGTCTGCTTGGGGTCTCTCTGGGTGCTCCGGCTTCCTCCCACCGTCCAAAGACATGCATACTAGGTCAATTGCTGACCCTAAATTGTCCTTAGGCGCGAGTGTGAGTGTGACTGGTTGTTTGTCTATGTGTGGCCGTGCGATGGATTGGCGACCTGTCCAGGGTGTATCCCGCCTTTCGCCCGATGTCAGTTGGGATTGGCTCCAGCCCCCACGACCCTGTACGCAGGATAAGTGGTTGAGGATGGATGGACTTTATTTGGATAATTTCCTTACAGATAGTTTTATTAGTTGAGATTCAGCTGTTTCACAAATAAAACCAGTTTCTGATATTAGCCTTCACCACTATGGTTAAGGTTTGATTAGTGCTAATGTTTGTGTATTCGTTAATAGTATAGGCTTCAATTAGTAACCTAATATTAATTCCAGTTAGATAAAACTGCAGTTTAATTTTTAGTTTTTTTTTTCAGTCATTCAATTATTTTGCAAGAAAAATGCTCTACTTGGTGGTTAGTCTCATTTGTTTATGTAAATTACTAACTCGTCAATAACAAAAACGGTGCATACAGAACAATGAGTGCAGCATTTATAATGTTTGCTGTAGTGCCTCAACCTTAATGTCCTGCCTTCTTCAGGCTGCGATTGGTCAGTTCACGAAAAGTGACTTTGATGAGCTTGATGCACACTGCTGCATGAAAGGCTCCCGATCTCCGTGCAGAGATTAGCAGGCAGGAGAGAATGGGAACAGGTGAGCGTCACTTAATGCCCAGAAAACCTGATCTGGTAAATACCGGCACATTTCAAACGCAAATGGCTTTTATATTGTGAGAAATAACAGGAAGTCATGAAAAATGAGGCTGAAGCAGAATATAAAAAAAATTAAATTAACAATTAGGTTTAAGTTGAATGATTTAATAAGCATCGTAAGTATATAAAGTTTACATCAGTTTACATCAGCCGATACAAACTTATAAAGTTTGTATCGGCAGAATACCTTATCTCAATTATAAGTACATTACATTTATTCATTTAGCTGACGCTTTTATCCAAAGCGACTTACAATTGCTTTATATGTCAGAGGTCGCATGCCTCTAGAGCAACTAGGGGTTAAGTGTCTTGCTCAGGGACACAATGGTACTGAAACAAATGCTGACGTGACATGAAAGGGCATATTATTATTTTGGCAGGTAATAAAAATTTCTTGGCTGATGTGGGTTTTTTTTTTTCATCTACCAGTAAGCTGGTGAGCCAAAAAAATAAATTTCCACCCATTTACTCCACTTACTAATTTGGCAGACACCTTGATCCATAGCGACACACACCTACACCTCTGGTCTCTCGCGGCAAACACATCAGCAGTATGTTTAACTCAAAAGAGACATACCTCAGACTTTTCCACGCGCGATTCGTAAATTAGTGGCCTCAAGACAGTTTTTACTGCCCCTCCCTCCCTAAAAGTTATTTATCAGTGTGAAAACAAAACCAAAGACTTATAAGTTATACTGTTAACATCTTTAACATGTTTTATTAAATACATCCTGAATATAAAAAACTAAACTAAAATGTTATCACAGTAAAAATTTAAAAAAATAAAAAGGTTAAAAACTATTTACTTTTAAAACAAAACATACTAACAGACTCAAACATGACCTGCTCTCTCTCCTGCTGACAGCCATTTAAAGGTCAAGTGTGTAATATTTATTGACAAAAATGCAATATAAGATCCATAACTATGTTTTCAGTGGTGTATAAAGACCTTATGTAATAAACCGTTATGTTTTTATTAACTTTAGAATGAGTCATTTATAGCTACATAACTGTGGGTCCCCCTTCCATGGATGTCAACACGTTGCGTTGTCGTGTTTCTACAGTAGCTTGAAAATGAACCCACCGCGCTACAGAGCACGTTTTATTACTATGTTCTATGTACTTCTGGTAGAATTCAGGCAATGTAGTAGTCATCTATGTTGATTGCATAAGTTAAAAGAAGTAGTGGTAGTGTATAATGGGTTTTCATTTAAATAATACTTTATAAATTATGAAATAAAATCATTAAGCACATCATTGATGAGCTGATAGTGATAGATGATCTGTCTCAGAGATATGGTACTGGGCCTGTAATGAGGCTTTTCCACGCTGTCAGTAATGTTAGCTGGGGGGTCTTCCGGGTTGTCTTAGTAGCATCCTTTGGGCTGAGGACACAAGTGGATTGACAAGTATGGTAAGATTGTTTATATTCTTCCTCGGGAAAGTATCAAAAAACAGGCAATTATGTAAATTTCTTCCTTTCCAAATGATCTTATGACTTAGTAACAGCTCATATATAAATAAAATATAAAATAACACTTAATTTGTAGTGACAAATCATGTATAAAGAATGAAACTACGATTACTAAGCACATTATATGTGATCTTATTAATAAAGAATACAACACAAACTTTTTATAAATGACTTAATGTGTTTTGATGTAATAACAATGCTTTATAAATTATTAATTAAAAATGTACTAATAGTTAAACTGCTTCATAGTGTGTAGATAATAAAGAATAAAACATTTATAACTGTTTATAAATGACTTACTAATGAGCATTAATGTTGGAACAATGCTATATTAATGACAAATTCCTTATTAACTAATACGTAACTAATACTTCATAGTGTGTAGTTATTAAGTTTTACCGTTTGCTCCTGCTTGTAAAAAAGAGTGGAAGCTCTCACAAACGTAGACTTAATGGTTTTATTGTACCAACTAAACATCAACATAAACTTAAGGTAAACATGGAAATCATTATCATCAGGAGTTTCATGAGTGTATGGGTGAGTGTAAAATGTAGTGAGTACAAAAGGACAAGCTACATGATGAGTTAAAAATTAAGAGCCGGAGTGTCACAGGGATAGTGCATGGTGCTGTGGGAAACAACAGAATATGGGCAGAGTTGGCAGCCGTCTTAAATACATCTAAGCCAGGCTGAGTTGGTGAGCCACACAAAACAACACAACACAGACAATCACAAGGTTGTCACAGCTTCTGTCAGGACAAATGATCATTTTCGTCTTCAGAGGGGGACCAGGCAGGGTTGCCTACTCTCTCCCTTGCTATTCGCCATTTATATAGAGTAATTAGCAGCTGCTATATTGCTGCTTATAAAATACGGAAGGAATTCAAACCGAAAATGTACACCACAAGATAAGCCTTTATGCAGATGATGTTTTAATTTCCTCCTAAACTCAAAAACATCTTTGTGTGACAGTCATATTATAAATTCCCCAAGAATGATTTTTAAAAACTGCAAAAAGCAATAGATCAGAACTACCAAAATTTTGCTCTTTATTTCCTGTCCAACAGACTACAATATATCTCAAAATGGATCAATCAAAGGCCCCTGGACCACTCATGGATGGACATAGAACAAACATTCCAGAAGGAAATGAAAATTCATTCATGCCATTCATCAGCTCCAGTATCAAACATCATACCTGCTTTCAAAGCATTAACGTAAGCACTTCCCTGGCAGCCTGGTGTGAATTCCTCAAATATCCATCCCATGCAGATTTACTCCAGCCTGGAACAATCCTGGCATCCTGTAAAATAAGAAAACTCTAAATTCCCCATTGTGGTATGATAAAGGGATAATACATCTGAAGCATGTAATGCAGGGCAGTAACTTTATTCCATTCCAGGATCTAGTGGCACAATATGCGAATTAGCAATACTATATTTCTTAAATGAACAGCGATTTCCAGAATTTGGCAAGATTTAAATATAACAAAATGGACTTTATTTATCACCAATGATAACAGACTTTCTTAAGCTCTCATCCCCAAAACTACATGTTGAAAACAAATGGTTCAGTCTCTCTCCCATTCTATCCATTGGACCATATGAAAACGTGTGTGTGTGTGTGTGCAAATAAGTAAAAAATAAATAAATAAAATCTCCATCCATCCAACGTGAACCGCTTATCCTGCGTACAGGTTCGCGGTGTATATAAATAAATACACTGGACAAAGTTATAAACGCAACAAATAACTCTTCTTTTTTCGCAATATGACATTTTGTCCAAATCGTGCAGTCCTATGATGTACAAAAAGGGGTATTTCTATTGTTCACAAATCTGTCACAATCTGTTAGTGAGCATCACCACATGTTGCAGCATGACAATGCACAGCCCCATGTCGCAAGGATCTGTACACAATTCCTGGAAGCTGACGACAACATCCCAGTTCTTGCAGGGCCAGCAAGAACTGGGACGTTAATGAGAGACTGGGCATGTCTCCCATTTAGCATATTTGGGATGCTCTGGATCGGCATATATGACGGCGTGTTCCAGTTCCTGTCAGTATCCGCCATCTTCACACAGCCATTGAAGAGGAGTGGATCAACATTCCACGGGCCGCAATCGACAACCTGATCAACTCTATGTGAAGATGTGTTGCACTGCGTGAGGCAAATGATGATCACACCAGATACTTACTGGTTTCCTTACTAACAAGTCATGGAAAGTCTGTCTGATGAAACATGTTGTACTCAGATTTAATGGTTCTTGGATACCCTTTGATAGCTCAGTTGGTAGATCAGAGGACTGTAGGTTTGTAATATCAGAGATCCTAAGGTCGCTGTTTCAAAGCTCGAAGGACGTGCTCTATGTTTTGGGGTGGTGATGGGGCAATGGATAGACACATGCCCGGGTTCGATGCACACTAAGACCCATCCACCATTGTGTCCCTAAGCAAGACACTTAAGCCATTGTTGCTCCAGAGGTGTGAGACATGCATAGCAATTGTCGCTTTGGATAAAAACTAAATGAAAAAATGTAATGTAATGCACAAAGTTGGTTGCAAGTGAGTGATAAGCAGCCTTTGAATGCGCAGTGAACCACCAATCACAATATTGTTCTTGATCAGTTCATCACAACAAAGAAAGCAAGCCCCGCCCCCGTTAATTGTCGACAACAACTTGAAAATAAATGAGGAACAGGAGAAAACCACTGAAACAGTGAATTTGGTTGCAAAAAGAAAAGCGTTTTTTCTAAACCACCTTGTGGGCTGTTGTATAGCTGCTCTTTTACTTATAATTTGTTTTCCCCCTACAAATTAGCCCAATAATTCTAGGATGTGTAATTATTTTCATACAATATTTTTTTCATATTGCATTAAATATTGCAGAAAAGAGAAATATTGCTTGGTTGTTATGTTTATTGATAATTGAGAAAAGTTGTGGGTGATCTTTGGTAATCACTCAGATTCCTAAAGAGGTTGGAACCACCTCAGGCCCCTTGGTGGACACACATCTGCAGTTGGTTTTCACATGTGGTAACGCGTTACTCAAACTTTAACATTGTGGATTTTGTTCCACAGACATGCTGTAAATGTTTATGGTTCTAGATAGCCCGCTCCACCATGACATCTCACTTACTGTCTTTGTCTCTGTATGTCTGTCTGGACTTATAGAAACGGAGAGGAAGAGATGGACTCAAACATCACAGCTGTCAGCACTGTGACAAATCCTTCACAACATTGAGATATTTAAAGATTCATCAGAGACTTCACACTGGAGAGAAACTGCACAGCTGTGACCAGTGTGGGAAAACTTTCACTACGTCAAGTCACTTAAACGTCCACATACGGATTCACACTGGGGAGAAACCGTACAGCTGTAACCATTGTGGAAAAGCTTTCATTAAATCAGGTGACCTAAACGTCCACAAACGTATTCACACTGGTGAGAAACTGTACAGTTGTGACCAATGTGGGAAATCCTTTACTACAATAAGTACCATTATAACCCATCAACGAGTTCACACTGGAGAGAAACCTTTCAGCTGTAACCATTGTGAAAAAGCTTTCACAACGTCATCTAAATTACGAATCCACCAACGTATTCACACTGGTGAGAAACCGTACAGCTGTGCTCAGTGTGGGAAAGCTTTCAATACAACAGGTGAACTAAAACGGCACAGGCTCTTTCACACTGGAGAGAAACCATATAGTTGTGACCAGTGTGGGAAAGCTTTCACTACATCAGGTGAACTAAAAAAGCACAAACGTGTTCACACTGGAGATAAACCATACAGCTGTGACCAATGTGGGAAAGCTTTCACTACATCAAGTCACCTAACGGTGCACCAACGTGTTCACACTGGAGAGAAACCGTACAGCTGTGACCTATGTGGGAAAGCTTTCGTCGCATCAGGAAATCTAGAAACTCACAGACGTGTTCACACTGGAGAGAAACCATACTGGTGTGAACAGTGTGGGAAAAGGTTTGCTCGTAGTTGTGCCCTTCAAGTCCACCAACGCATTCACACTGGAGAGAAGCTGTACTGGTGTGACCAATGTGGGAAAATGTTTGTTTGTTCTAGTGCCCTTAAAGTCCACCAACGCATTCACGCTGGAGTGAAACTGTACAGCTGTGACCAATGTGAGAAAGCTTTCACTACATCTAGTAACCTTAAACGTCACCAACACATTCATGCTGCTTCGTTTGAACACTTTTCAGAGCCAAGCTTTCCTCCTGCCTCCTCCTCATGCCCTGATAGCTGTTGTTAGAGTTGTGCTTCCCTACAAACTGAGGGATAGACGACAGTAACATTACATACTGTGCTGCCCTGCCTATCCACAAAGTCATCGCACACAATGAGTTTGAATGATTGTTTGATATTTGAATGATTTCTGAAATGCTTGGATTTTTTCTTTCTATCCTCTTTAAAGATTCAGTGTGTAAGTGGCATCTAGTATGAATTGCAACCATCTGTCCAGTCTACAACTGCCCCCTACCCTTTCAAAGAGCGTAGGACAACTACACTGGCAGACACAGCACAAAAGGTGTTGCTTCTGAGACAGCAGAGTAGCTAGTCAAGGAATTAGGTTTCTTTAGGTATATTTATTAAGAATTACATAATTATTCAGAGAGATAACATGGAAAATGTAAGCCAAGAAACTTTAAAGTTTATACAAACATTGATAAGGGAAACGCATTCATTCTCTCTGTGATTATGGACCCTTGTAGCAGCAAAAAATATAAATAAATACATACTTTGATAGCGGTGCTGAAATGTATCTCATGACAGCAACACTTACATAATCACTTCCTCTTTAGTGGTGTTGCCTACAAAATAAAAGCTTGAGAAGCTTCTTTATTGTAATCCTGTAGTTCGAGTTGAACTGAGCTTTTACTTTGACAAATTCTGGACGATGCAACGTGGTGACGTCCATGGAAGGGGGGACCCGTGGTTATGTATATATAAATGGCTCATTCTAAGGTAATAAAAACATAATGGTTTATTATGTACGGTCTTTACACACCTCTGAAAACAGTTATGGATCTTATATTGCATTTCTGTTGATAGATCCTCAGAAATATTACACACTGTACCTTTAAGTGAATTTGTATATTTGTTGTTTGTCTATTTTCTCATGTAATCTCGTTTTTGTTCCACCTTAAATGTACATCTTGTTCTGTAAGAAAATATTCTAAACTTGAAGTTCAGTTGTTAGCACTGTTCAACTAGCTCTGCAACAAAGGGCTATTTTTAGCATTAACCTGCCATGTGTTTTCTTGATTAATCACTTCGTAAATAAAATGTCATTCCCCATCGCTTTTGCCAAAAGTCCAAGGAACTGAGCCGCTGGATCCACAGCATGGCTGCTGCTTTTGCCTTGACAATGACTTTTGGATAAGTAAAGTTATTTGTCAGTATTTTGTTGATCGATCAGTAGTTTCATCTCGGCTTTGAAACATATCCCAACAGCCTTCTTCAGCCAAGTGATCATGTTTGAATGTCATCACATCACCTCTGTATGACTCTTTAGTGACTGTGCTGGACTATGTCATGTGATGACAACTGAGAAAGTTCAGTTTGTTCAAGAAGGCCATGGGATGTGGTCAAAAGCCCCAACAAAGATGTAGTATGTGAGGCTTGAGTTTAGACTCATTTATTACAGATGTGTTCCCCAAAGTCAAGAATGAAGCTCCACGCTGGATGAAATATTGTTTCTGTGAGCTTCATATATATTTTCTTGTTATTGTGTGAAACATTTTGTTATTTTGTATCCACTGTTTTTATTTTCTTTTGTTTATACTTTATTGTGTCAATACATATCATTGATACAGTTCCTGTTTTTATTTCTTGAAGTATTTGTTAGATGTGTCCAGTTGTGTTTTTGGGGTTGTGACTTTGGTGAGTCTTTACCATGTATCTTGGAAGTGGTGGAGGTTTCCAAGAGTTCTTATGTGTACTTTTTCTTTCAAATAGCTTCTCGCTTGCAAATATCAATAGAAGTGATCATTAGAGAGACTAAATCTATTAGCTGTATCTTCAGAAGAGTCCACTCCTTCATTATACGTTTGGTAAAATCTTGTGGGGCCCTTGCCTTTCCATGACTTGAAAACATCAACAGTTTGGAGTAAAATCTGGGTCCCATGATTTTCCAGTTAGTGTGAAAACACTTGTAGTTTGGTTCATTTGGTCCGGACCAAGTGGGGAAAAAAAGAATACACTGTTGCATTTTAGTTCTGGTCCGGTTACTGTTCATTCTTCAGTTTTACAAAGAAAACAAGAAGAGTAACCATGACGTTTTACAGACTGACCGGTAATTTGTTGATTGGACAGCTTTGGAGATTGTCATCCTGCTTCATCAGTAGGAGTCATGAGATGGATTTTGTTGGTTGTTTAGCTTTTGAAATGCTTAATCACATATCTGCTATCATTAAATTCTGTGGTTGGTTGGTTTGGTGCGGTTCGCTTCTGATGTGAAAGCAAAGTGTGATTGATGCATTCATACCAGCACAAAAGAACCGCACCAAGAGGGAAAACGAACTTTAGTGCGATTCAACCAAGCTAAACAAGGCAGTTGTGAAAACACTTTTTAACAGGTCATTTCTTGTTGCTTGACTTTCGTTACCTAACACATTTAAAATCTGGTGAATATTATAATTACTGTAGAGTACAAGTTTTATATATTTTGATATGTTATTTTCTTTTTGTGAATGTGTTTTTTAATCTGTTGAGGTTAGTTCACACTGAAACTGGAGGAAAGAGACTAAATAAAGTGGAGTTTCTGCTGAGTTCTGAGATCAGTGTCTGAAGGACTCGGTAAATGCTCCATACTTGAATAGCGCCTTTCTAGTCTTTTACACTACATCTGCATTCACTCACATTCATTCACTGAGCCTAAGAGCCAAACAGAAACTAACATTCATACACTGGAACAGCTGCCAGGGGCGATTCGGGGTTCAGAATCTTGCCTAAGGACACTTCGACATGCATCCTGGAGGAGCCAGGGATTGAACTGCCGACCTTTTGATTAACGGGCAACCCGCTCTATCCCCTGCTAAGAGGCAGCAAGACCAGCCTCCTTTCTGACGCTTGCACAGGAGCTTTTAAAGGCCGCCTTCTAAGGCCAGGTGGGCCTCGTTCAGCGATCAGCTGAAGTACTTCCGAGGCAGAACTAGGGCAGAAAAGGAACATGGAGAAAGCCCAGAGAGACACATACAGCCGTAACACAAGGCTCCTTTCTAAAGTAAAAACCCAACCTTAGTTTCTCTTTCACAAGGTTTTCAGCATGAACTTTGAAAGAATGCTTGTCGTCCAACCTTGTTGTTTAACATTGTTAAACGTTGCCAAAACAAAACATGTTATTAAAGAGAGAGCCATTAGTAAGGCAAAGGACATCTTGGTGGACCATTGACACCCTCTCTCGCAGAGTTTAAACTTCTGCCACCAGGGAGTTGGTACACTGTCCCTAGGAGGGCAAAATCAAATAGAAATTCTAAAAAAGGGGAGGATAGAGTGGTAGATGGGGAATAAAAGGAGTAAAATAAGCAAAGGTGAGAGACCTGCCGGTTTTTATTTTCTATTTAACTTTTTTATATTTCCCTGTTGCTTTTATGTTTTACTGTTGCAAAACAAATTGCCCCTTGGGGACAATAAAGGCTATCAAAATCAAATCAACCAAAAACCTAAATACTTCTATAAAGCTGTCAAAGCTCACACCGGGGTAATGGACTCACAAAGCACGACTCAAGGTGGTTCCCAAAAGATCGTTATTGAACAAGGTTCAAAAAACTTGCAGGCCGTAGTTCCAAATCATAGGGCACTATGACACACTGGGAAATTGCTGGAATGCTGGCACAAGGAATCAAGGCGAACTGGCACAGGCACAAAGGGGACAAGTATATACAGGTGCTGGTAATATAATTAGAACATCATCAAAAAGTTGATTTATTTCAGTAATTCCATTCAAAAAGTGAAACTTGGATATTATATTCATTCATTACATACAGACTGATATATTTCAAATGTTTATTTCATTTACTTGTGATGATTAAACTGACAACTAATAAAATCCCAAATTCAGTATCTCCGAAAATTAGAATATTACTTTAGACCAATACAAAAAAAGGATTTTTAGAAATGTTGGCCAACTGAAAAGTATCAACATGAAAAGTATGAGCATGTACAGCACTCAATACTTAATTGGGGCTCCTTTGCCTGAATTACTGCAGCAATGCGGCGTGGCATGGAGTCCATCAGTCTGTGGCACTGCTCAGGTGTTATCAGAGCCCAGGTTGCTCTGATAGTGGCCTTCAGCTCTTCTGCATTGTTGGGTCTGAAGTATCGCATCTTCCTCTTCACAATACCTATAGATTTTCTATAGGGTTAAGGTCAGGTGAGTTTGCTGGCCAATTAAGAACAGGGATACCATGGTCCTTAAACCAGGTACTGGTAGCTTTAGCACTGTGTGCAGGGGCCAAGTCCTGTTGGAAAATGAAATCTGCATCTCCATAAAGTTGGTCAGCAGCAGGAAGCATGAAGTGTTCTAAAACTTCCTGGTAGACGTCTGCGTTGACCTTGGACCTCAGAAAACACAGTGGACCAACACCACCAGATGACATGGCACCCCAAACCATCACTGACTGTGGAAACGTTACGCTGGACTTCAAGCAACGTGGATTCTGTCCCTCTCCTCTCTTCCTCCAAAAGCAAAATTTACTTTCATCAGAGAACATAACTTTGGACCACTCAGCAGCAGTCCAGTCCTTTTTGTCTTTAGCCCGGGCGAGACACTTCTGACGCTGTGTCTTGTTCAAGAGTGGCTTGACACAAGGAATGCGACAGCTGAAACCCATGTCTTGCATACGTCTGTGCTTGGTGGTTCTTGAAGCACTGACTCCAGCTGCAGTCCACTCTTTGTGAATCTCCCCCACATTTTTGAATGGATTTTGTTCACAATCCTCTCCAGGATGCGGTTATCCCTATTGCTTTACACTTAGACTGAAATTTATCAAAGATATTATGGGAATCCAAAACATTATGTAGCTGGTTCGCAACAACCT